AGAGAGCGAAAGCTCCCCCTATCAATATGCATGGGTGAGTATAAAATAAAAAAGGATTGCTCCCCCTATCAAAATGCCATATGGAATATATGCAATAATGATTAAGGAACACATATGTGAGCAAGCATAAATGAATATGCTAAATATCACTCACATTCAAAAAGGTTTTCAAATGAGAGTCATGCAAAAAGGTTTTCAAATGAAAACAAATCAACCAAATGAAATCATAAATCACAAGTAAATCACATAAAACCAAATCATCATTTTTTAAAAATCAAGAGAGGCAACTATATCTAGCTCTTGAGCTAGTATCAACCCATATGAACATTTTAGCACCCGGTAAACAAGATTTAGGAATAAACATCCAATAATCCGGGGGGGTTATATAAATACAAACCTCTCATCAAAACAAGATCAATAATCATGAAAACAAAAAAGATTTGATCAAAGAAAATTTGTTTTCATAATCAAAAGATTTTAAGACATAATTTTCAAAACCAAGAAAAGGAAAAGTAAGAACACTATGGTTTAAAATTTAAATTTATTTTGGTACCCAAGAACTCTTGGTACCAAAAGATTTAGGAACATGATCCCTATCATTAAAGCTCAAAACCCTTGGGTTATGAACCCATTTGGGCGCATTTAGTACACTAACACGGTCAAAATAATAATCACTCAAATGACCCTTCCGATTGTAATTTGTGCAATGAAAGAGATCCATTTATTTTTGTGGAACATTAGCTCGTGCACGGGAATCATTTGCAAATAAAGATTTTTTTAAAAAATTATTTTGCAAATGAGAAACATCATTAAACAAAGATGGTTTCTTTGGAGCATTTTGCAAAATAGAAACTTTTTGCACATCAAAACAAAATTTAGCAAGATGTCCAAACCTACCACAAACATCACATTTAAAAACATGTGGTCTACTAGAAACATTTGACAAATGAGATTTATTTTTCAAATCAAAACAATATTCGGTCAAATGACCAAAACGACCATAATGATCACATTTAAACTCACTAGCATGCTTATGATGAGAAATAGATGCATGTGCATGTGTGTGTGATGAAGAAGCTACATGAGATGCACAAGGAGCATTAGCATTCTTATGTTTGTGTGCATCATAGCAAAATTTTGATAAATGACCTTTTCAGCCGCAATTAGAGCATTTGTAAACTTTGCTATATATGTGTGCATAATGAGTGGATGATGACTTAGACTTGAGCATTTGTAAACTTTGCTATATATGTGTGCATAATGAGTGGATGATGACTTAGACTTGGCACACATATGCATAAGCCTCTTATGATTATTAATGTATGTTTTCAAAGTTGAATCTAAAGATGAAATACATTTATTCATAAGATTCAAATCTTTATTTTTAGGCACATATGTATTTTTATTAGAAGTAGAACATAAA